AGCGAGGTTATAGACATCCATTGCAAAGTTCATTTAAAGGTCACTTAAACTAAGTTATGTTAGCAGAAGTTGCTAATTATAATCGTAATATTCTGCCATTGAAGAAATGCTTTAAGTAGGACATTATTCAGAGAATCATAAGAGTTGTTATATCGCTTCAAACATTCCTCCATGCACACATATGAACACGCAAACACACGCTTCATACGGAAGCCTACGAGTGTCTATGGCTTTTGTTATGACCGATTCTGGGATGTGCGTTCACACCTGGGCAGCCATCGGATCGATTCCACGCGACAGGCCTCAAGACTCTCTCCTTGACAACCTCTCAGCGTCTGCTGTCATTTGTTAATACAATTACTCATCATAATCGCGCAAGCAAATGATTAATGTTTCACACCGAGCGGCGTCACCAGGCAACGTTACTAGGCGACAAACCCTTAGTTACGAGACAATTTCTTGTGCGTCAGGTTCGAGTGACGTACGGCAGAGAAGGGCGTCCAATGAATCAGTTGGTTTATGAATCTGTCACAGATTACACACCTCGGCTCACTCTTTGCTTTCACGTGGAATTCACGTGTCAAACACTGGGCAGTTATTACAGCAAACTACAATGTATTTTTTTTATATATTCTGTTGCTTACAGCTCAGGACGAAGTTATATTGACTCTTAGCAAAAGCTAAGAGTCAATATAACTTCGGTGGTCTAGCGGTTAGAACGCTGGCCTTGTAATCCGGGGGTCTCGGGTTCGATTCCCGGCGGTGCCCGAATTTATAACTTGTGTTGGGCAAGGCCGTGGTCTAGGCAACACGGAGTTTTCCTCCGGTGGCATCCCAACAATTACTCCATTCACACACAGAAGAAGGCAATGGCAAACCACTTCTGGATCATCTGCCAAGAACGTATATGAACAGGTCCCAGTCCGAGAAAAGGATGGAAGGATCCTGTTCATATGGACCTGTCATCAGACAGAACACTAAATAATAAGATGAGGTGGTCTAGCGGTTAGAACGCTGGCCGTGTAATCCCGGGGTCTCGGGTTCGATGCCCGAATTTATAACTTGTGTTGGGCAAGACCGTGGTCTAGGCAACACGGAGTTTTCCTCCGTGGCATCCCAACAATTACTCAATTCACACACAGAAGAAGGCAATGGCAAACCACTGCTGGATCATCTGCCAAGAACGTCAAAAGCTGTTTATTTCTGCGAGCAGATTTCATTAACAAACGTCACAAACATTAACACAGTGTCCTGAGTTCGAGTTACAAATCTTATCGTGTGTAGGGATTATATATGTCTGATAGGCTAGAGAGTAATATACAATTAGGTTCCTAGCTTGGATGAGTTAAGCTAATTATGAGCATCGGGTAAATGACGTCAGCGTTGGCTTACCACAAACAAACATCCTTCGTAGAGACGCCGCGGAAACTCAGATTAGGTAATTCATAACACCAGTCTCCTGCATTGAGTAAGAACTGTAATATTTGTAGTCAAAGTCTTCGGTTACAGAGAAAACCCTTCCGGTACTTGATTGTGTAAATCCGAAGTACAATAATCTTTGGTTATTTAAAACCGTCGATTATTTCACGGTTCATTCTTACAAAGGACTTATTGCATAAGAAAGGACTTGAACCGCGTTGGGCAAGATTTGGTGGTGAATAATGCTGGACAGCGACACAGTACGACAGAAAAGAGTTCGGTAGACAAACAGGACATAGGATAAGTCGAAGACTGACTGTCAGACGGAAGAGACTGATAAGGCACGCTCGAGTTCAGACAGCGGACGGACAGACCGACAAACACTGTGTTGTGTGATGTCACATCCGGTTGCTGCCCAGCCATTCCTAATATCCTGCAACAAAAATCGATTAGCGAACACACACCGTCAGATAATAACATTTAGAAGCAGGCCCCAGCCGGACCAATCGGGCGTCGATAATTGTTACGAGTTTGCTGACTAAGCTAAAGGCCAGTCCTGGGAATGACCACAAGAATCCCCTGTCCTCTTGATTCGACGGTGACTAGGGAATGCGATACTGCCTCATCCCGAAAATTAGGACAAAATAAGCAAATAGCATCGCCAAAAACATTCTTTAGGGCCATAAGCGAAAATCAAAAGAAATAATGATATATTCAATCGGTTCACTTAACGTAATATATTAGACCCCTCTTCTCAAGAATAGTTTCTATTTTTAGAGTTCCCGCTTAAAATTCTGTGTGCATTTATCTTCTTCCCTATGCATTCTACATGTCCCACGCATCTCACTCTCCTTTGAACACGTCACTATAATAGTGTCTGAAGAAGAATATGGATTATGAATCCCCTCCCTTTACAGTCACCTCCAGCCTCATTACCCCAACACAATCCTCATAACTTCGTTTTCAAACGCCCTTACCAAAATTTGAAGAAAATGTGTGTTGACTATGTCTGAGGACAAAGTGTAACAGAATATTTGTATGATACCTGAGACTAATGTCTGGAAGAGGATAATACAGAAAATTACATAAACAGAAACTTTATAATCTGTAGGAAGGGGTTAAAGACTGAATACACCGCGTGTCCCATAAGTCCAAGGCCATAGGAGAAGTCGATTACTGGGAAATACAGAGGGAAATGTCGCTTCAAATCACGTGTTTCGAATCTCTAATGTTGTAATTTCTTACCTTCGACTAGCCGCAACGGCGATACGCCTTTTACGTCGTCAAAATTACGGCGATGTTTCCAGAGTTTTACTCTGGAACCCGTGTCTCCTTCCCCCTCTCCCCACTTTCTAAAATCATTCCCCTTTCGCTAAAATTTCAAAGTGGCAACATCGCCCTAACTCTTTTTCTACTGATGACGTAAAGACTGTGTCTGGATAACGGCTTGTCCCAGGTAGAAGACCCCAAAACTTGAGATTGCAAAGAAAATATCTCCTCCTTCTTTATATATTTCCGTATTTTGTTAAATAACACGAGTTCTCCTGCGATCTCTGACTTGTGGGACATCTGTATAAAACAGGGGAAACAATAAATACCAGAATAATTTTGTTTGGAGAACCTGGTTCAAAGACGCGGATGAAAATGTGGCCCCAGTGACGGGCCTCATGAGGGCAACAAGGGTCTTTGTCATCTCAGCAGTAATCAATCAACTGCTTGAGTATCTGTCTAGAGCAACTGATGAAAACTGAGAGAACCCCTTGTCCGTCCAGCAAATATAGGGGTCGATTTTGGAACCCGGGGGACGGTTCTTTGCACCTACAATGAACGGAAGAATTATCGGCGAAGAAAACTCATGAACGAACGACCAGGAACTAGTCCCCAGACCGAAAGCTCCCTGTGGTTACTAATTCAATTTATCGACAACGTTTGACGGGAGAATGAGATTAACAAATGAATAATCCCCTAACAGGCAACTAACCTCCTCGTATCAGACTCAGAAGACTGTGTCCAGAGCCACTTCGGTTCACATTTTCATGGACTTTCTGTACACACATCCAGCGTCTCGGCCAACCTGCGTTGTAAGTAAAGGACCTTTATCTCCGCTCAGGCTGATGCAGAACAGGAGCGAGCGACTAGTCGATACAGCGATGAACATAACATCAAAATCGAATCCTAAACCACGGAATCATTTGACGCTCGTATCTCTCTTCAATTTTCCGCCTGTTCTATTTCCTCTCCCGTCCGTCCGCCCGTCTGCGTGCAGAGTGTTGACGTACAGAGAGACATCTGTGTCATCAGCTTCCAGCATCCATCCCTCCATCTTGTCGCAGACTATCGTCAGACTTAGTTTCTAATAGTTTCTTCCAGACTTGTTTATTTGCAAATGGTCACGTCTAACTATACTTTACACTTATATATTTTTAGTTATTTATGTATTTTATAACTCCTTATTTATCTTTTAATTTGAACCTCTTATAGAATAACAACTGATTTTCCAAGAACCAAACCCTAGACTTCCTGATATTACTACATACGTCCTTTATGAAACCCACCAGTACGCTTAGTTTAACCTTTTAAAGCAGATGATAAAAATAATTCCAACCTCCTTAAAAAAAACAATAATTCTCACATTTTATACGTCTGGGTTACGTGAATTTCCCGTTGTAAACAGCGATTACTTTCTTAAACAGCATTACAGCATTAACAAGTTAACATCTGTAATGGTGTAGTGTTGTGTTTTCTTTTCGGTACGGAATGAATTCTTAGACGAGCCTTGGTTTGAAAGGGTTACGATGCACCCCGCAACACATTTCCAGTGTTTTATATTCGTTGAACAGACAATTGGGTATAAACCGAATTTTAATCAACGAATCTGTTAGGTTGGAACCCCAAATCTCATGGTACGCGATCAATCATACCGCTGCTCTCTGCCTTAAATTTACTACGGCGAATACCCCACAGTGCACGCGTTCTGACCCCACGGAACGTCAATCCGATATCCCCGTTCGAACACTTACGACCTACTGACTTTAAAAGCCACAAATGCATGACATACTGACCAATTTTTTCACACAAAAAATCCTTCTGTAATTTTCTATGTTTCTTTTCTTGGACAATCACAGTCGGTTATATAATGCAAGAGTGATCTATCACCAAGCTTGGTAACATTTTAGTGCATCTAGCGGTCGCTACGTGGCGCAGCGGCGGTGAATGAACCCCCTTTTAAAAGAGAAATACAGACTTCAACACATAAAATTGTCGATATAAACAGTTTTCTGCGTCACGAGTGAAATTAAACAAGATTCTGTCACAGGGTGAAGTAATCTCAGAGTTTTATTACCTTAGAATTGTCACAGACTTTTACAAAGGCACCGTAGCGTCGAGATTCACGAAATGTTTCCAAAACAGTGCTGCCAACGTAAAGACTAAAATACCCAACTCGACACATGCACGACGGCCAATATCCGGGTTCAGTTGCCCTGAAGATATTTTCACATTTAATTTACCTCCAAATAAACTTTTTAAATGTCGTTCTCTCCATGCAACAACAGCTGACGTGCTCCTGCCTTTGTCCGCAGACGATGGCTGTTTCGCGATGAACACTACGGAGGCTAGCCTCAACGGCACGGACCTTACGAACCGGACGTCCTCCATCTACAGCATTGGTCCGGACTTCATCACGCAATGGTGAGTGACAACCGGATAACGTAACACGTAAGGTAAAAACGCTGTACCTCGTCACTTTACAAAGTATTTTAACACAAAATTAATTAAGGTATTTTTGTTAAGTGACAGCCACACTTGAAAAGGCGTGCTGAAAACTTGTTTACCCCCTTACTCCCCCCCAGAACCGGCCGTCCTATTAACCGAATCAAATCTTCGACGCTGACGTAATCGTCTGCAAAGAAGCGACGTCATCTTAGAAGTTCCTTTTCAGTTCCCTAAAAAGTTCGATGTCGAATTGAGCCACGTTTATGACGTATGGTGAGTGGTTCAAGACAGTAGAAACAAAGTTCTCCGCAATTGATCATACGGTCATGTGAAGCCCCGAATTATGGCGACAGAGGTAACCCTGATGCAACTCAGGATGAACTGTTTCCTCGAAGGTGCCTTCAAACTTCCATTTGACAATTAATGTCAATCGATGGAACGTTTTCTGTGGTCAAAGAACTCATTCACTGCAAGGAGCTTATTTCGCACTGAAGTCTCCTTATACTGTGCCATTTTCAGAGTTTCGACTCGGAGACCTCTTGTATCAGAAATATGAAGTTTCACACAAGAGTACTGCTAGTTCTTACTGAATGAGGGCACGCTGGCTTCCTTCTCAGAAATAATGATTACATCACCTTGTGTTTAAGACAGTAGCACGATTTTGATAATCAATTTCCGCCTTTGTAACGCAAACGAGCATGAAGCTCACAGTCTTTTCACTGTTGAACATACCCTCAGAATTTTACGTAGACCTAGAATTACAGTCTTTTACATTACGCACGTGATCTACAGAAAATAGCAAAGCATGGCGATCTAACTCTCATTTTCCCCACTAGTAGAATTTCCCACTGATTACCAATGGCAAGCCAATGCAATCAGCGTGAAGGTTTCATCGCCTTTAAAATGCAAGTCCCGACATCCTGCGCCCTCCCAGGACGGGCAACCTGAGTACGTGTGTCATCAAATTACATCAGCGAGTCACGAAGGTTTACGATCGGAGTCTCTGCGATGACCCGTGTCCGAGTGTAGTAGAAGACTTTTAATGGGAATCTTGAAATTAGAAACTTTTATACGGAGCTGGTGGTAACAGGAGTTGTCTACAGCAAAAGACATTTGTGCGCGCTGACACGAAGAAATTTCAAAGAAAGAAACAAAATGGAAATATACTGAAAAAGGAAAGGAACGAAAGAACAAAGAAAGTAAGAAATACGAGGTGCGATCGGAAAGTTTCTAGACTGCGCCTATAAAAACCCGTACACTTATCTCAGGTATTAAATTCATCCATCACCCTCGAAGTAGTTCCCCTGGGAGTGAACACAACGATCCCAGCGCCGCTGCCAAGCCTGGAAGAGGTTCGGCCATTTTTAAAACGTGAATGCCACACAAAAATTTGTGCACGACCCATTGCGGACTCCCCAAATGCTTGCTTTAGCATTTCATAGGTTTCCGTAGCCGTTTTGGCGAGTCTTTGGCAAAATTTGATTTGTTCATGAAAATCCGCCATTCCGAAATCGCAGGAGGGTCGGTGTAATGCACTACCAAAACGCCCGTAACTAAGAAACAAATGCTAATTCGATGATGCCGGCTGGCACACTGATTCACTATGAATGTAGGCCGCACCCCCTAAAGGCAGAAGCTCGTACTACATCCGGTTCGCCCTCTGTTGACACAGTCTTGAAACTTTCCGATCGCACCTCGTAAGTGCAGAAAGGAGAGAAGAATACAAAGACAGAGAAACAAGGACACAAGGAATTAGAAAATAAGAGATTATGACGCAGCGGAGAGAGAGAGAGACGCGTTTAAGTTTGTCTTTTAAACTGGTGGCCCAAGGTGGGTCATGCTCTGTGACCTCACTCTAATAGCCTGATATCTGTAGCCGATGCTAAGTATACAGACTGGGAAACGCGTTTCGGGACATCCTATAGGATCACTGGAGCGAGAAGGCTCACTCTAGCGGCTCAAATTGGAAGCTGGCCAGGTGTAGCAGATTGACCACCCAGCTATGGCAACACTGCGCCAATCTATTGTAAGGTGGGGGGCTTTGCCACATCCAGGGCGATCATACCGCCGGTTCTGATAAAAACACGCACCTTGAAGGGATTAGAACACGTTCTTGATGTTGTAAGCAGAACTGAATGCAAGCTTACGGTACACATCGGAGCCCAAATAGAATCTACCTAATTTATCAGAAGTGCACATCAAACATTGTATATGGGATCAACTGTTCTGCTCAAAATAATTCGAGAATTTGTATCCCAAACATTTTTTATTTTATTTTCGGTATTTGGAATTTTAAAAAAAAATAATTAAATTTCTGTCCTATGAAAAAAGTTACCTGTAACAATCATACTTCAGGACACATTAAAAAAATTAACATCGCCTACTTTTTAGAGACACGAATCTGTTACTACAAATTATGTTAATTAAGTGAAATTACGTAGGAGACATCACGTCCGTTTGTCTCCCCGTTCCTTAAAATTCCAAACTTGGTGATCGTATTTCAATTTATGACAAATGTACTCGCGGGAAATTTAATTTTAATTCGCATCGGCCTAATTAAATTCCCACTTTACAGGAAGTTGCGGTTTTCTCATGCAATAATCATCGTAAAGAGGACATGTTCCTGACTCAAGTTGATGATTTAATACCTTTAACTTGATTTGTAACCTAACCTAACTTCCACACGAGCGACATTCATGTAAGCAGTATTCCACAAAGAATAATTTATGACTGTATTCAACTTGCGAAAACTTTCGTCACTGTTACAACCTGAACCAAGCTCCTTCAATAGTCTCCAACATAACTTTTCTTGGTTTTAGGTGCATTATTCTCCAACCACTTTAAATTATTTTTGGATTAAAAACGTCTAAAGAAGAATTTCCACTAGATTTTAAAGCATATTAGTATCCACACTAATAATTCTGAAATTCTATTAAAACTACGTCAGCCTAAAGCCCTGTGAGGTGTACAAAATCATATATATCATTTGAAAAACACGTGTTGTAAACTTCGGAGTAAACTTCTCAGCTGTTATTACAAAAACTAATTTATCCACACCCTTAAAACCTAATTAATTCGATATAAAAATATACATAAAGCGTTAATGACACAATATCTTCTATGCAAAACATTCACGCCTGGTTTGCGTTTCTTTGCGAGTAAAACAGGACTCGGAATCTTCAGCCCAGTTTTCGTTACATCGTTCATAACAGTCTTTCCACTCCACTGTTCCGTTTGACTGTCAGAAATTGACACCAGACAGCAAAACAAGGGTGCTATACTTATTTTCGATAAATCGAACCGCTCGGTACATACATTTCATTAAATAAAACGTTTAATATTCTGATTACACAAATTATCATATATCCTAACTTTAAAAATTGTATTTCTTCTCATCTCATTTAAATACTAACTCACTTGTTCCTTTCGCAAACGCTCATACCTTAAAATTATACTCGAATCTAATTTGCAATTTTAAATATTTCTCAACATATTCTTATGATTGCTAATAGGCGTAGTAATATCTATTTCCTCCATGAACATAACCTTACATCTGTCGCACATAACCTCAAATGCATATGGCTGTCTTTTGGATAAATCTGTATTACATTTTATACTTTGGTCACTGTGTTTCGAGCACTGATTTAACACAACAAAAACTTTACCAGAGCCCCTTTGGATTAGGCACCCTGGTCGTACTCCGAGTGAAGGGGGACAGTTCCTTTCAGACTGAAACCCTCAATACAACCTTACAAAATTAAATTGCGAACGGATGACGCAATCTCGAAACAAAAATCAAATAAAATCATGAATCCAGAGTCTTGCACAGAGTAAGGCTACTCAAGTGCGACTGCACTCACAGATTCTAAAACGTATTTCTGTCTATCGTAAGCGAACGAGGTCTTGTGTGAAACAGCTGACTGATGCGAATCCGATCCATCCACAATTTGGCTTGTTTAATGAACATGAATGTGATGTTTATGCTACTGGTAATTTCAATTCCATTGTACCAACAGCAAAGAACAAGGTTGGGACGAGGCAGCGAGAGACAGAATCTGCGCCAGCTTAATCGTGCTGGGCGCAAAATAACTGTGAGTCTGAGCTGCATCACAGCAAAGTTTGCATGGAAAAATATAAACAGCAGAGGGAGGGGGAAAGATCCTGTCTGAGCATTTTTCGAACAATCGATTTTCTTTCTTTCAATATCGATACGGTCAGCGTCATTTCGATACGTCGTCTTCCGCGTCGCAAGGAATTTTGAGAACCGTACGAGCTACAGAATATTAGAAATGCAGGCACAGGCCCGCAACCAGAACGCGCTGCTCCTACAGCTCACGTCTTTAAGAGACACTGCCTGCTTCCATCTTCAGGGCGATAAATACACGGTGCAACTACCCATCGTAGGACACGCGCACGTCAGAATCTAAAATCCTACACGGAAATGATCCTACTGTGATGCTGCGGAGTGGATGGAACTGGCTCAGGATCTGTCCCAATGGCTTGATTCGGTAACAGATGTTACAATTGAGTCTGTGGCCAGGTCGACGGATTGAGAGACAGCGGTGCGGTTTGCTGTTCCCAGAAGGCCTTAGAGGCCTGACAGAATTCATCGAAATTCATATGAGGATGATAATGAAGTTGTAATTAATCGCAAAAGACAACAACTGTATTTCGCGAATAGCACTCAGTGCTGTCTCAGCGGATTTCAGCTCACCAGAATTACGTCTGAGAGTGGATTCCGTAACACAGCGACCAACAACAACAACAACAAAATCGGCTTCTTTCATCGGCTGGTCGCTATGGTTACTCTGCTGGCTTCTTACGTTCTTCGAACGACCGGATCGCAGTGGAAGGAGTTCAAAAATTTTTGTACCGATGGGACAAAAGAAGTAATTCCGTTTTATTGCTTAGCAGAAAAAAATCTGGAGGGAAATGTTTTCCTAACTATGACCGCTGTTCGCGTGCACTTCACTCCA